TTTTTTCACCCTTAATTAATTAATATTAGCAATGGCTACTTCTCTCTCATCTTCACCTCTTATCTTATCCCAATAATTTGTCTGCAACTGCCCTTTTTTCCAGTTTATCTTAAATTCCTTCACTCCCCTAGGGCCTCCTCACATTTGCCTAATGTCTGCCTCTCTCACTCTTTTCCTAGTCTTTGACAACTCTAAAAATGCAGTCTTTGCACAACTTTCTCATTTAGTCTGTATTTTTTGAGAAAACGCTCACTCACACACAAATGTTTGTTAACGAATCTATCTATCTAGGGTTTTGTTGGCTGCATTATCTTTGCACAACTGAAGCTGCTAGGTAGCTTTACTAATATATATATATATATATATATGTGCAAATGAGGAGTTGCAATAGTGTGGTTTTGGTGCTTGCGTCATGGCTCCTGTTTTTTGCTTGGACAACCCATGAGTTGAAAAGCTACGAGATGCAGCTCCTTCTTCAGCTGAGGAAGCATTTAGAGTACCCATTAGCCCTCGACCTCTGGGAAAACAGCACGGCCGCCGATTTGTGCTCTGTGCACGATTTTTTCACCATCACTTGCCAACAAGACTCTGTTACTGAGCTCAGGATTATGGGAGGCAAGCCTGCAGCAACACGGGCCACTGCCGATTTCACAGGTTTTCCCATTCCGAATCACACGCTATCTTCCAGTTTCTCTATTGACTCTTTTGTCACCACACTCACCAGGCTGTCTAGCTTAAGGGTCCTTAGCCTGGTGTCTCTAGGCATCTGGGGCCCACTGCCCGATAAGATTCATCGCCTTTTCGCGCTAGAATCTCTTGACCTGAGTTCGAATTTCCTATTCGGTTCGATCCCACCCGGGCTGTCAAGATTGGTGAGGCTTCAAAGTCTGACCTTTGATGACAACTTTTTCAATGGCACAGTCCCTGATTGGTTGGGCTCATTCACAAATCTCACCAGTTTGAGCTTAAAGGACAACAGGTTGAAGGGCCAGCTTCCTTCGATATCAAGAATTACGACCTTGACTGAGCTAGTTCTGTCATACAATTTGATTTCAGGTGAATTGCCTGATCTGAGCAGCCTCTTTAATCTGCAGCTGCTCGATCTGAGAGAAAACAATCTGGATTCCAAACTGCCTCCTTTGCCGAAAGGGCTGTCCAATGTTTTTCTCAGCAACAATTCGTTTTCGGGTATTATACCGAAACAATTCGGGAAACTGAGCCAACTTCAGCATCTTGACCTGTCGGACAATCATCTTACTGGAGCCCCTCCTGCTTCGCTCTTCTCTTTGCCCAATATTAGTTACCTTAATTTATCCTCCAACTCTCTTAGTGGATCACTTCCCGAGCATCTTAGCTGCGGCAAAGCACTTAGTTTGGTTGATCTTTCTGAGAATAGATTGATTGGTGAGCTTCCGGATTGCTTCGATACTCTTGATGATGGTAGAATTGTTAAATTGTGGGGAAATTGCTTCTCCATTGGTGCCAAGAATCAGCACCCTGCAGCTTACTGCAAAGATAAAGTCAATGGTGAAAGACGAATATCATCTGTGATGGTAATAGCAATTTTGGCTGGTGTGATTGGTGGGGTTCTCATTGTTGTGGTAATCCTCTTGGTCATTTGTCTTTTCTTGTGTAAACGAAATCGTACTCAGCAGACCTTTATCCAGCACACTGCGCCTAAGGTTAAGCAAGATAGTGCACCGTCAGGGTTTTCCTCAGAACTTCTTGCAAATGCCAGTAAAGTTCTCCTTATTTTTTCTTATATATTTATTTAATGATGAAATCAATGCTATACTTGTAATCGTTCCACTTCAAAAATTATTTACTCTTTTCTTTTTTAGTAACATTTTGGTGTATCAGGAATCATTACTGAGGCAGCAAAAATGGGGAATCAAGTTGCTCCACCCTATAGAGTGTTTCATGTACAAGAACTGGAAGAAGCCACCAAAAACTTCGATTTATCCACATTCTTGGGCGAGAGTTCTATTGGAAAGGTTAGTCACAGACTCACAATAGCTATAAAGACCTCTATACGACCCCTTTTCTGAATGTGTCGATAATTTGAAGCACAAAGGTGCTAAGTATGTGCTGGCGTTCATTTTAGTTCTGGTCTACCTTTTGAAAATGCCAGCCTTTCATTTCTTCAGGTTTACAAGGGAAGATTAGAGAATGGCACAACTGTTGCCATACGATCTGTGGCTTTAATTAGGAAATACTCAATTCGGTATCTTAGGCTGCGGCTTGATTTGCTTTCAAAGCTTCATCACCCTCACTTAGTTGGCATTCTTGGTCATTGCATTGATGGAGATGACTCAACTATACATAGATTGTTTCTTGTGCAAGAATTTGTTCCTAATGGGAACTTCCGCTCTCATCTTTCAGGTACTTACTTTTTTAATATATTGAAACTGGAACACCAATACTTATTATTATTATTATTATGCAAAATGAACCTGGAGTATGAATGTATCATCTACAGAGAGCACCACGGATAAGGCCTTGAAGTGGTCAGAGAGATTGAGTGTTGTAATCGGTGTGGCAAAAGCTGTCCATTTTCTGCATTCTGGGGTGATTCCACCCTGTTTTAACAATCATCTGAAGACAAATAATATACTTCTCGATGAGCATGGTATTGCAAAACTTAGCGACTATGGAATGTCCATCATTGCTGCTGAAACTGAGAAACACCAAGTATGTATTATGTTTCTTTGTTTTTTTTTTATGTTCAAATCGTTAGTTTACTCGTAGTTACTATCTATCTCTAACCCATATATGCTCTCTCTCTCTCTCTCTCTCTCTCTCTCTCTGCTTTCTGTAGGCAAAGAGAGATGCGTTTGAATCAGGGTAAACAAAAACTCGTCTTTTCTACTAAATAAATAGTTTTCTGCACAGCTGTGTTTGTACATGATCCATGAAGACTAGAAATCTCTTTGGCAGGCTACATGCGGAGAGAGTGCAGGATGATGTTTACAATTTCGGGTTCATATTACTCGAAGCCCTTGTAGGGCCTATTGTCAGTGCAAGAGGAGAATCATTTCTACTAAATGAAATGGTATGTATGTATGTTACTGCTCTAGATATATTTCACCCGCCGAATCAAATGCTTTATATTCTAATTAACTAGGCAATTAATTCCATGTTTTTTATGTTTCTAATAATTAAAAATTAATATTAGCAGACATCATTTAGCAGCCAGGATGGCCGACGAAAAATAGTGGATCCAATAGTGCTGACCACAAGCTCACAGGAATCACTGTCGATCGTGATATCCATCACAAACAAATGCATATCAGCGGAGCCTGCTAGCCGGCCGCCATTTGAGGATGTCCTCTGGAATTTGCACTATGCAGCTCAAGTTCAGGCAGCATTTGACGATGCTGATCAGAAATCAGCCGCGGCTTCTCGTCAGAGCTTCAGTTGAAATCTAGCCACATAATATATGAGGATTGAGGAAGATGCAAAAGCCTTTTTGTGCTATTCTTTTTTTTTTTAAAAAAAAATTTATTCTTTTGGTTTTCCATGCAAGTAGCTGGGTAAGCGATGTACATATGTCCTTTTGCAATGTTGATGATTCTTTGATTTAGAGCTGCAGAACAGATTAGAAATCTGAGATTCTTTTCTTTCGTAATATGTAATAATATTCAATAGCAAATCTAGGATAGATGATGTGTCCAGTGCTAGCTTTTCAACTGATTACCAGATATTTACTTTACATAAGCGTGAATTAATGAGATTAAGACATAGAATGATTAAAATGTGCTGTTGATTAGTGTTAGTTGAGAGTCACAACTTACGGTTATTACAAGTTAATTAGTTTTCGAAGGTTAGGTGGGTGAAGAATATATAAATAATATTTGCTCAGACGCAAAGTCCCCCACTTGAAAAATATTTATATCAAACAAGGCTACAATTAACGTTTTTGGTTACTTTGGACTATGGACTATAGCCTATAGGTATGTACACCTACTTTCGGTTCTCTTGTCAATTCATTATATGGTTTAACTTTGACAATTGCATCCCACATTCCCATATAAACACACACACCACACCACACCACACTATGATAAATAAATTCATTATATTTAGTCCAACCATAAATAATGGCACAAATAAATTAACATAAGCATATCTGGAGATGCTTCAGCATTGTGATAAGCCTTTTTGTGTTATGTGATTGTTTAAGCTTGTCATTGCATTATGTTAAGTGTTTCCATTTCTTTTTCTTTTTTTT